CAGTACAAAAGAAGTTAGCAACAAGTTCTTCTGAACAGTTATTATGTCAGTGGTAATTACAATAGAGGTGCTAAGAGGCCTAGACCAGTAGCCTAGAGGCTAAAATCCTTGCCTTGCACATGCCAGTTTCCCATGTGGGCACCAGTTCTAATCCCAGCAGCTCTGCTTGTGGCCTGGGAAAGCAGTCGAGGACGGCCCAAAGCCTTGGGACCCTGCACCTGTGTGGGTGACCCAGAAGAAGCTCCTGGCTGCTGGGTTCAAATTGGCTCAGCTCTGGCAAGTTTGGTCCCTTGGGGAGTGAACCAGCAGACACAAGATTTTTCTGTCTCTCCTTTCTGTATGTCTGCCTTTCCAATAAAAATAAATAAAAAATCTTTTAAAAAAATTCATTAAGCTAGATATTTAAACAGGATGAATCTTATAGTTAAATTAAAAACAGTTGCTAACTGGCTTTAATATTGCAGTTAAAATAAGAAATGTAGAATTTCAGGAGCTTGGCTCATAGTATATTCAGAGGGAAAATTGTGGCCTTTTGAATTTTAATTGCAGAATTGGGAGAATGAAAACACATGAATAAATCATGCACCCTTACAAAGATGGGGGAAAACATTTGCAGTCCAGCTTTCCCTGGAAGCAGCGTGTGAGGCGAGGAGCTGTGTCTGACTGTTGAGGGATGTAGTTGTAGGGACAGAACACAGGCGAGTGAGACTGACAGGAAGGTGAGCCTGTTAACTTCAGCAAAGAGTGACTAAGGGACCTGCCTCATGCTGGAGGAGTTAAGCCGTTGCTTTTCGTGTCAGCGTCCCCTCATGGGTGGCAGGGGTCATGGCACTTGGATCATCTTCCACTGCTTTCCCAGGTGCATTAATGGGAGGTGGGTTGGAAATGGAGCCGTTGGGACTCAAACCCATGCTGTTCTGAGATACTTGCATTGTAGGTGGTGGTTTAACCGGCTCTGTGACAACGCTGGCCCTGACAACACACACTTTGGAGACTGGTTCTAGCACAGGAAGAAAATCAGAGAGTAACTACTTCCTGTGTCTGCTGAGCAGAAAGCACTGAGTGGCAGCGCTCTGCATGCTGGGCCCTTCCAAGTGGAACAGGAGGCCTTTCTCCTAAGATTTCCATAGAGGCCTTGGGGGCTGGAGGCTGCCTCTCTACCGTGTTGGGGGAGGGTGGGATGGAAGGAAGCTTGGCCTGAGTTCTTTCCCAGAGGAGTCGAGGTTGACATTTGTTTAAGCAAAGAGGAAGGAGTCCGAGATCTTAGTGATGTTCTGTGTGCAGCAGACTCTCCTCCATGAACCTTTGTTATAGTTGTCTTTAAGTTCTGCGCACGTGTTACATACGCCCTTTTGTATATGTGATTTGTGACCTGGTCATTTTCAGTGGGCACTAAGCCAGCGCACAGGTGCCTCCCTTCTGTCGGTGTTCCCGTCCACTGCAGGCTGCCTGGGCTGCCTTGCCTTGTGCTGTCTCACGCTCATATCTCTTTCTGTTTCTCCTTAGCTCCAGCCCTTCCTTGAGAGGGAGACCAGGTGATGACCACCATGCTCCTGACTGCCTGGCCCCAGGTGAGCTGGAGTCCTGCAGCCCGCCCTTTGGGGGACATTGAGCAAGGGCACTAGGGAGCCTTGGGGTGCGAGCTGGGACTTGTGTTAGAGAATGAGGCCCAAGACTGCCCTGGGGAGGAGAGGGAGGCAGTGTAGTGAGCACATCTGTGCTCAGCAGCCTTCCCTGCCAAGGGCTGCTCACGTGGAGTGATGTAAAATCACAGGAAGGGGTGCTTGGGGCAGTTGGTGAGGAAGAGTTGCAGCAGTAGCAGAAGGCTGAGAGGGGCTGTTCCCTGATGTGGAGACAGTAGACTAAAGGGTCAAGAGACAGGGATGACAGGAAGTCCGGTAGGATGGAGTGTGTCCTGGTGTCCTTGTGAGACATTCAGATTGAGATGCAAATCGTCAATTTTTTGGTCTTGGATAGAAACTTCCAAGCCTTTCCTCTGCACTGTAGACCTAATCTTCCATACACATTCAGGAACTTAAGGATTCCCATCTCAGGGGCCTTCCCTGAGACCATCAAGGAGTGAGGCGACAGTGCTCTTCAGCTGAAACACTGGAGATGCACGGGTGGTGAAGAATGTCTGTTTATCTTAGAGAAGTCACAAACTTATATAGGGTAGGAAAAGGGGGCAGGTAAAAGGCGGTCCCAACAGTATTTCCACCAAGCGACATTGTGACTGGCTTACAGATATGTCTATCTCTCTGGACCCTCCAGTGAAGTTAAAGGTCAGGAAACATAGGAAGCTTGTCTCAGGGCAGACTGGTTAGCTGCTGAAAAGCAGGATGAATGTCACATTTGATTTCCTAGAGTTGTTTACCAAGGAAGTCCTAACACAGTTCATTAAAGGGGCAGAGAAGAGAGACTGGGGTGCAGTCCCTTCCCCTTGCTGTATTCCCAGTGAACAGAACATGTTGGGGTCTCAGCCAAGGGTACAGTATGCCATATGCCTGTGGCCTCCCATATGGACTAGGCAGGTGGAGATCTGGGGCGATCTCCCACAATCCCCAGGTTGCATCTGTGGACCTGTAGTTTGAGACTTAGCACACTTAGTGTGCTGCAAGCCCCAGCCAAGCACTTTGCATGGGTCACTGTCTTCTCTGGAGGCACTGTGTCCTATTCTTTCTACCACAAAAGGGGGGAAAATAAAACAAAAAGAGAGGGGAAAGGGTGCAGAGCAACCTGCCCAGAGCCCTAGAATCAAAGTTAACTGTATGATGCATAGCTACTCAGCAGGCTGAGCACTCTGGAGCCAGCTGTGTCTGGAATCACTTCTAGGAGACTTTGAAAGCCAGGCGAGCAGTAGGAAGGCAGTGCAGGTGATGCAGTGTCATCGAGGAGAGCAATTGTCAAGACGGAGGGATCCAGTTCAAGTCGTGCTTAGAGTGGAGGAGAGTTGGAGGGTCGGGAGCTGGGGTGCAGGCCAGGGAGAGGGCAGTGTCAGGAATGGGCTCCAGGTTTCTGGGTGAGGTTCTCATGGGTTTTGCTAACATCAGCTAAACAGTGAATCCAGGTGGAGGTGCCCTCTCACTTGGAAAAGGGGAGTGTGGTGGTACACAAGTAAGGCATTTAAACTTTGCAGAGAAGTTCCTTGACTTTCCAAAGACCCCCATGAAGAGAACTCAGAGAAACATCCTGTCTGGATGGCACAGAATTGTTGGTGGGTGGTGGTCAGTGGGAGCCAGGAAGACAGACCCTGCCAGTGAGGCCCTCGTTATTACAGAAGACTGGAGTGGGCAGAGTAAGAGTTGGCAGACTGCAGCTGCCCAGGGTGGTGCAGGGCAGGTGGTGCTGGGAACCACACACAGTATAGCTCTGAGTGACAGGGTGTGTGTCGAGCACACATGCAATTTAGTGATGCAGAGATCAGACGAGATCGGGTGCATTCAGGGTGGTATGGCTGTAGACAGTGATGCAGAGAGAAGCTTAAAGGGAGTCAGTGGTCAGGGCTGGTCTCTCCTTTCCTAAGCCTTCTTGGAAAAGCTGAAGGCCAGGGAATGGTTTGAAAGAATGGTTTGAAAGAACTAGAGAGGGCGGCAGAAAATAGAAGAGCTGCAAGGAGCGGGTGCCTAACTTCCTAGGCCCCAGGGGCCTGAGTGGAGGCTGTACCGCCACCTGTTGGGGGCTAGAGGTGGGAGTCTGGCAGTGATGGGGGCTGCTTGAGCTGGAAGCCAAGACTCTTTTTGGGGGTGTGAGGGGTAAGGGTGAGGACAAGGTGTGGGAGTGGAACGGAGGAGCTGGGACCTCACTGGATGAAGTCTGTGCTGCTTGCCAGCACGGGTGTGAGGTGTGTTGAACAGAGCAATTGCTCTAGGAAGTTTACTCATGGGATGTGTTTTTTCCCTCTGCTAACTTGTATTAACTTTTTTTTCATGTAAAGAATGGCGTGAGGTTCCTATGCTGTGACAGAAGTCAGATATTTTGTGATTTACTTTCCTGACACCTTTTCTTAAGTCTCTTTTTTTTTTTTAATTAATTTTTTGCTCTCACAAGCTCCCTCCCCAAGCCCTTATATTGCCCTCTGCCCCCCACCTAGGGCCCGAGCCATGGAATTGGCCCTAGGGCAGCGGGAACCTGTTGTTTCAGAAGTCGGTGACCTTCGAGGATGTAGCTGTGTACTTCACCCAGACGGAATGGGATGACCTATCTCCTGCCCAGAGGGCCCTGTACAGGGACGTGATGCTGGAGAATTATGGCAATGTGGCATCCCTGGGTAAGGCCTCTCTCTTCCTGGATCTTCACTGTGCTGTTTGGGGGCAGGGTTCCTAGTTTCCTTTCCCAGTAAAGGTGCAGGTAGGGTTTATAGTAATTGCTTACTGAGCAGGAACCCCAAGACTGTGCGTAATCCTCTGGACTCAAGGCTTGCTGGGAACCCTAAGTCCTTTTGGAGCTGGTGTGAGACTTTGCTGGGACGGTGTGCTCGTGTGATGTGCCTGTGGAAGCTGTGTGGTGGACACCACACTTGGGGTCCCCGTCATCTTTCTTGTATGTTGAGCCTTTCCTGGGATCTGGGTGGGTTCTGAGTATTTCACTCTATTGCTTTGGACAGAATCTCGCTGTTTGCCCTGCACGAGGGTTTCAGGATCCTCTCTGGCAAAATCTGCCTTCCCTACCCCTTTTAAAGCTCCCTAGCTTTTGAAAAGTATGACTGCCTCGTCCTTTTCCATAGTCCTTGTCCTTGAGGCCCCCTGGGCTCCAACCTTGCTTTCCCATTGCTGAGACAATCTCAGAAGAGGCTTAAAATTGTCTATGGGAGAGTGTTCATCTATTTCTGTTTCCCTCCTCAATGCCAGGGTTTCCACTTCTAAAACCTGCTATGATCTCACAGCTGGAGGGAGGAGGTGAGCTGGGGGGCCCATCCCCTCCAGCCCCTGGAGCAGGAGCACGCCTCCAGAACTCCTGGACTGGTAAGGGAGACAATTACTGCTCTTTATTTGGGTACATTTAACTCTTGAGGAAGAGGGCCAACATTGGCAGCTTGCAAACACCCAACATACAGGAGGCAGTTTATATAAGCTTTGATGATTTGGAGTTAGGGATAATCCATTCCATTTTTGTCCAATTTTAAGAGCACTTTTTTTTTTTCAAGTACCTCATTTTCTTTCCAGTTCAATATTTGGCGTTCTGTTTTTCTCAGTCAAAATAAATGGATTTGGTAATTTTTGAGGCTCTTTGCCATTTTCTGACTGTGGTCTGCTTGATTTGGAGGGTGTGGATTAAGAGCTTTTCCACACAGGAATACAGAAGTGGCTAAAAACATGATTTTAAGATAGGTTTTTCTGGGTTCCGATTCCACCTGCTGATTCCAAGTTTTGTGATGGAGCATGTCAGTCCTGAGTGCTCTAATATTCAATATTTGTATCTCTGAAAGTGGAATACAGCAACAACAACAATAAATGAGTCTAGGGGATAATGATACTCAACTTGCTGCAGCTGTCACATGGCCATGACAGTGAAAGAGAAGATGGAAGATGTTTATTGCTGGTTATACTGCTACTCCTGAAAATGAAGATTGTGGAAAATGACCATGAATGTTGGCATCGGCCACAATGTAGGATTTGATAAACAGAAGATCATTAGCGGGTAGAAGCTGGCAGAGAATCTGAGTGGTTGATCTACATTAGGAAGAACAAATTCTGATAAAGGTAGAAGCCGCCACCCTCAAAAAGCCCTATACCAGTTACTGGAATGAGATTACAATGAGAGATTTCACCTAGCACACTGAGAACTATTAGATTACATGAAGGATTGGTTGCAGTGCAGCAGAACTGGAATAGTCTTCTGGGAGTGAATGTGACTCCAGGATGACAGCTTTGTACGTGATAACCTGGACATTGCCCGTTAGGACTGAGCCTTCTAAAGTAACTGAAGCCGTAGGCAAAAGTATATTCACACAGAAGTTTACATAGTATTATGTAAGTGTACATATAATATATAAATTTATATAAATTCATATGTGTCATAAAATATTGGAAACTGAATTTTCAGTATAATGAGGATGGTCAAATGAGATACTATTGTAAAATGATCATGAATATTAGAAAAACATTTTCAGTTTTGAAAAAAATACATAGTTGCTTTTAGAAAAATGATTTAAAGAAAAGTGGTGAAATTTAATTGGTTGTATTTCAGGTAACATTTACTTTCTTTAAAAAAAACTTTCTTTTAAAAGAAGAAGACAGAGAAGGTTTGGCATGATGGCTCAGTGGCTAAATCCTTGCCTTGCATGTGCTGGGATCCCATGTGGTGCCAGTTCCTATCCTGGCTGCTCCACTTCCCATCCAACTCTCTGCTTGTGACCTGGGAGAACAGTTGAGGACAGCCTGAAGCCTTGGGGCCAAATACCCACATGGGAGACCCAAAAAAAGCTCCTGGCTTTGTATTGGCTCAGCTCTGGCTGTTGTAGCCACTTGGGGAATAATGAAACAGCGGATAGAAGATCTTTCTGTGCTTCTCTGTGTAAATCTGACTTTTCAATACAAAAGGGGAGGGGAGCAGACAGACAGATAGATCTGCCACCTGCTGTTTCTCTCCCCAGATGCCTGCAGTGATGAGGATGAGAGCCAAAGATACGAGCCAGAAACTCAGTCCATGTCTGCCATGTGGATGGGCAGGAGTTTAATTTTTAAAATTGTTACCACTGCCTCCCCGGGTCTGAATGAGCAGAGCTGAGTATTGAATTCAGGTACTCCAGTATGGCACATGGGCACCTAAACAGATTAAACACCTGCTCTTTATAAATCTGTGATAGCACGCTGTACCAATAGCAGGTGTCTGGTAAAAGAATACCATCTAGACTTGTGCAGGTACGCTCTGTTTTCACCACAGCAGTGTTGCCCAAGGACATGTGTCTGAGGGTGTTGCCCTGTCGTAAGTGATGCCCAGCTCTACAGGTGTGTATGCATGTGTCTGTCCTGTAAAGTCCCCTGGTTCCTAAGGTTGTTTCTGTATCACACTTCTTGTTCTTCTAAGGTGTTTCTGACATTGAAATTTTATGTTTTGTGTTTGTAATAGTAGATACTGGTATCCAGACTGGCAGTCAGTTGACAAAGGACATACACGATGAGAAGGATGGCACATCCTTTATGTGTCACAAAGTCTCCTACCAGGAAACAGACATCTCAGAAGCTGTTACTCCAGTGCCTCCACAGGAAGTCCACTCGGTTGGACATGTGAAGGTGGAAAAGAGCAGTGCCCTTGCTGGGACAGTGAAAGAGGAGGCAGACCCTGTGCAGGAGGGTTTCTCTCATTTGAGTCCAGGCATGAGTGGGTATCATAGCCCGTGCAAAGAAGGGCAGTCCCCTGCGTGTCCAGGATGGAGGAATGCCTTCACCTTTGATGTACAGCTTATTAAATATGAGACAGTCAGCACTGTGGGAAGACCTCCAAAACATGAATTATCTGCAGAAACCTTTACCTGTGACTGTCACTTTAATCAGCCTCAAGAAAGCACTGAGGAGAAGGAATGTCATCAAAGAGTGGAGTGTGACCAAGGCCTCAGTATTAATGTAAAACTAGTTAGGCTTCACAGAGGGGAGTGCGGGAAAAGCTTCCACTGCAGTTCCCACTGCATCACCCACCAGACCGTTCACAGTGGGGAGAAGCCCTACCAGTGTAAGGTGTGCGGGAAGGCCTTCAATATTAATGGGAGTCTGAGCAGGCACCAGAGCGTCCACAGTGCAGAGAAGCCCTTTCAGTGCAAGGACTGTGGGAATGGCTCTAGCTGTAGTTCCACCTTTATCACCCACCAGAGGGTCCACACTAGGGAGAAACCTTACGAGTGTACGGATTGTGAGAAAGCATTCTCCGTTAATGCCAAACTCGTCCAGCATCAGAGAATCCACGCTGGAGAGAAACCCTATGAATGCAGTGAGTGCGGGAAGGGCTTCCTGTGCAGCTCCCAGCTGAGGCAGCATCAGAGTGTCCACACGGGAGAGAAGCCCTGTCGGTGTCAAGAGTGTGGCAAAGCCTTCAGCAGTAATGCCAGACTCGTCCAGCACCAGAGAGTCCACAAGGGCAAGAAGCCCTACACTTGCCCTGAATGTGGAAAGGCCTTCAGTGTTAATGCAAAGCTGACACAACATCAGAGGATCCACACCGGGGAGAAGCCCTATGCATGCAGTGAGTGTGGGAAAGCCTTCAGGTGTAGCTCCCAGCTTCGTCAGCACGGGAGGAGCCACACAGGGGAGAAGCCGTATGAATGTAGTGAGTGTGGAAAGGCCTTCAGTGTTAATGCAAAGCTGACACAACATCAGAGGATCCACACCGGTGAGAAACCCTTCCAGTGTGGTGAGTGTGGGAAATGCTTTACTTCCAAAAGAAACCTCCTTGATCATCAGCGGATCCATACAGGCGAGAAGCCTTACCAGTGTAAAGAGTGTGGGAAGGCCTTCAGCATCAATGCCAAGTTAACCAGGCACCAGAGAGTGCACAGTGGCGAGAAGCCATTCAAATGCACGCAGTGTGAGAGAGCCTTCAGCTGTAGTTCTGATTACATTGTGCATCAGCGCATCCACACTGGAGAGAAGCCTTTTCAATGCCAGCAGTGTGGGAAAGCCTTTCACGTCAACGCCCACCTGATCCGGCATCAGAGAAGCCACACTGGGGAGAAGCCCTACAGGTGCGTGGAGTGTGGCAAAGGTTTCAGCCTCAGCTCTGACTGTCTTATACACCAGACTGTGCATACTTGGAAGAAGCCCTACTTGTGTAATGTGTGTGGGAAAGCCTTCAGGTTCGGCTTCCAACTTAGTCAGCATCAGAGGGTGCACAGTGAAGGAGAAGCCTAGCAGTGAGGAAGGTGTGGGGCACTGCCAAGGCGGGTGCTGCCCTGGGTCAGATATGAGCTTCACCCTGGGGGGAAACGCAAGACAAATGAGGACAATAGTCTTCTGTGGAAATGTTTCGTTCTGTTTTATTTGTTTTTTTTTAATCAGGAATGGATGACCAATTAAAAAGTCACTTATTTTAAAATACTAACAACCAATTAGAAAGTATCATGAAGGAAAATACCCTGTTCCCAGCAGCATCACACAAAGTTGATTTTCTAGAAATGGGAAATTGTTTTGCAGGACCTCTATGGAGAAAATGACAGGCCACCAGAGAGTCGAGTAAGTATGTGGGGAGAAGCCTTGTTCTTAAATCAGAAAATACATATAATAAAGATATTCACTTTATGTTAATTTCTGTTTAATTTTTGACACCAAGCAGGCATTACTTTTGTGAAGGGGGAAGAATAGAGAGTTCTTTAAAAAAATACATGTGTAGGGCCCAGTGCGGTAGCCTAGTAGCCAAAGTCCTTGCCTTGCATGTGCTGGGATCCCATATGGGTGCCAACTTGTGTCCTGGCTGCTCCACTTTCCATCCAGCTCCTTGTTTGTGGTCTGGGACGGCAGTCAAGGATGGCCCAAGGCCTTGGGACCCTACGCCCGCATGGGAGACCCGGAAAAGGCTCCTAGCTCCTGGCTTCAGGTCAACTCAGCTCCAGCCACTGTGGCTATCTGAGGAGTGAACCAGCAGACTGAAGATCTTTCTTTCCTCCTCTCTGTATATCTGCCTTTCCAATAAAAATTAAGAAATCTTTAAAAACATATATGAGTAAGCGTTTTAATTTTATGAAATAGAGAAAACCTTTCTAAACATCAGGTGAAGGACAGAAACCAACCACAAGAAAAGTTCTGGTAAGTTCAAAATTAAGTGCTTTTGCATTTTTTCCTTTAAATTAATCCCAAATAAGGTGAAAAGATAAAACACTGATTACGAGTCAATGGCTTTATAAAATGTGTTATTAAAGCCGGACAAGTTCAGTGTCAGTGTTGGCTGTTTGCAATGTCACATCAGTATATTTTATTACACAGCATGCCATACAGCCCCAAGGAATGCCACTAACTGAACCTGATCTTAGCCAAAAGGCCGAGAAACAATAGGATGCCTTCAGGTGTGGATGCTCCATGGCATCAAATGCAGTCAGGATGGAATGTTAGAGGGTTTTGTCTAATTCTAGAATCATGGCTCCTGAGATCTGCGTTGAATTCCTTATCATGGTGCTTTTAGAAGTCTTGAATGAATGCCATCAAAGTCTTGGAAGCTTCAGCATATTCTTTAGAAGAAAATAATCCACTAAAAAAAATTGTAAGCAGTAAAAATATCCGAAACTGTTAGCTGAAGAACAGCAGGCACAAGACAAAAATGGAGAGGAGAGCCAAGAGGCACAGGTGGGCCTAGAGGACAGAGCCCGCCCTGCCGCCCACACTGCACACCTGCCTACCCGTGAGCTCTTGCAGGGTCGGTGTCTGCCAGCCCCAGCATTCCGCAGTGCTAAAGCTGACCTCTAGGTAGCTTTTGGTTGGTTTCAGTTTAAAACTCCTAAAACTGGAAGAGTCCTTTGTTTCGGCCAATTTGCCTTCTTGGGAATATCTCTTGTTTTCAAAGTCTTCTGTTTCACGTCTTTTCAGCTAAGAGGAAATGCTGCATTAAAAATGGCCACCGATAAGAGACAGTCTCCACCACTACAACATGCCGCTAGAGACTGAGCCCTTCACAGGGAACAGGTTGCTCCAGGTGGCCGTAAGGAGGGACGGCGAGGCTGGGCCACTGGAGGAGGCAGCAAGACAGAAGTCTTGTCAGTGTCAGAAAGGAGGTGTGAGGAACTCAGAAATAAAATCTCGGCTTCTGTGGTGTACAGCAAGAATCTGGCTGCTTGGTAGGGTGACTGAGTGTGAAAGCCAAGTTTTTGTGTGTGTGTGTGTGTGTGTGTGTGCGTGTGTGTGCTGTCACCTCTGATAGACATTAACGGAAAATTATGCTAGACACTCCCCAAGCCAGATGGGTTCATTTTCACACTAAGCAGTTCGGTTTCCTGTGGATACCATTTGGGTATCTCACAATTTGGTTCTGACACTACATAAAAATCATGGCACATCCCACAGGTGAAGGGTCCAGTTTCACAAACTCCTATCCCCCAGCCACTTTGTGTCTGACTTGGCTACGAGTTGGGGGTTCCCATGGCCCTCTCTCCTTGGAGGATTTCCTGTAACAGCTCACAGTCATCAGGGAGAACAGTCTTTGCTAGTGACAGAAATGAACAGCCAGATAATGAGCTCTCTGGACCATGCAGAAGGGTCCTAAGTGTGGGAACTTTTGCCCATGTGACCTTGGGATGCAGCTCACTGACACCTTTGCTTTCAAGGAGGCACCATGATGAAAGCCACGGTGAAGGTCCCTGCAACTAGATGGTAGGGTTGGTTTTCCTAGTCTGTCACCAGGAGATGCACTGTTAGCATAAAATCCTTCTGCTTGAGAAGGAATTGCTGCAGATGGCAAAGGATGGCCCAAAGCCTTGGGACCCTGCACCAGTGTGGGAGGCCCGGAAAAGGCTTCTGACTTCACATCATCTCAGCTCTGGATCAGCTCAGCTCTGGCCATTGCAGTCACTTGGGGAGTTCTATACCTGCCGCTGGGGAAGAGTCTGGAATTTATGCCAGAAACTGGGAACAAAGATCAAATACTTAAACCACTGGCAGAAATCCACTTGCTTGGTTCACATACAATTTTCAAAACCTACTTGCCGTGCTTGCTTATTCAAGGTGGTGGCTTGAATAAAAGACCCATAGGATGTTAACAACCACAGCCTATCGAAAGTAGATGTTTTTCTCCACTGTAGCTACATTTCTTCCTGAAATGCCTTCATTTACATACACATAACAACTTGAGTGCTTTCCCGTGTACCTTTCAGTACACTGACAGTCCATGCATGCTATGCCACTGACAGGCGAAGGAACAGCCTAGCTTTCCGGGTTCCTCTACGTGACACATCTACCAGCCACCATGACGGGGAACTGTTGGCCCATATATGGAACAAAAAAGGGGTGAGAGTTAGATTCTGAGAAATTGCTTCCCCAGAAAAACTGTAATAATTCATCCTGTGTATTAGAATGTACCTCCCCTTCCATTAAACAACTTAGTTAAACACAGTTCAGAGGTGAGGCATTTCTCAGTGAGCCTGACTTCTTGCTTTGGTGAGTCTCCTTTCACAAGAAAATGCTTGCTGCTTGCTGTGTGCTCTTGGTCTCTCATGGACTCTCTCTCACAGTGAAGCAGAGAACGTGGGTACCACGTGTATATGTAATGTTTGGCACCACCGTCTAGATCACCATGATTTAGTTTACATAGAACTGTTTTAATGGAAAGCAGATTCATAGAAGGAGAGAAAGATCTTCCATTGCTTGTTCACTAGCCAAGTGGCTGCAATGGCCAGAGCTGAGCTGATGTAGAACTGAGCTGATCTGAAGCCAGAAGCCTTTTTCAGGTCTCCCACATGAGTGTAGGGTTCCAAGGCTTTGGGCCATCCTCTACTGTTTCCCAGGTCACAAGCAACTGAGACAGGAACTGGTGCCCAAATGGGAGCCCAGCACTTGCAAAGTGAGGATTTAGCTGCTGAGTCATTGCACCAGGCCCTAGTTTATAGAACTTTTTAAACACCTCAAAAGGAAACCTGATAGTTTCTAAGCCATTCTTCTCAATCCCCTACCCCAACCCTACTTCCTAGCCCTTGGCAGCTACTTAAACACTTTTCATCTGTATTGGTTTTCCCACTTTTCAACATCTGTTTTTCTTTTGGGGATACCTAGAATTAGAGTTGCTTGATCAAATGATAATTCTGTATTTCACTTTGAGGAATAAGAAATCTGTATTCCATAGAAATTGAAATATTTTATATTCCTATCAGTGATGTATGAGGTCAATTTTTCTACATCCTCACCAACATTATTATTTACCACTTTCTATTATTTCAACTGTAGTCAACCTCATGATAATGAAGTGGTATCTGTGATCTTGGTGGTTTGAGGAAAGAGTGAGGGAGGAAGGGAGTGGACTTCCAGCCATGGCCACTACCACCATGGCAGGGCCAGTCTGAGGCCAGGGGCCCAGGGCTTGGCCATCCTCCACTGACTTTCCAGGCCATAAGCAGGAAGCAACCAGGACACAAAGCAGTGCTGGCACCACAAGCGGAGGGAGGCCTGCTATGCCATGGCACTGGCATCCAGAAGCATTTTATTTTGATGCTATTGTAAGTAGGATTTTCCCACTCCTTTTCATATTGTTCATTTCTAGAATACAGAAATTGATTTTTGTGTGTTGGTCTATCCTGGAGAATGTACCATCTGCATTTGAGAATTCTTCCATTATTTCCTAGTGTTCTGAATATGCCTGTTCAAGTCTGGTTAGCTTATTGTGTCATGCAAATCTGTTTACATATTAACCTTCTATGTGTTTATATCCAAGTGGAAGGTAAAGTATTGAGGTCTCCAGTTACTGTTGGGGTGTTGCTTATTTCCTGCTTCAACTCTCAAAATTCTGCCTCATATTCTAAAACTCTGACATTTCATATGTGTCTGTATCTCTTCAGGCTGCTGAAACAAATGCCTAAGTGGGACAGCTTATAAACAGTAGAAATGTGTTTCAGTCCTGGAGGTTGGTCAATCCAAGACCAGAGTGCTGGGAGACTCAGTGTCTGGTGAGGGCCTTGCCCTTCTTCCTGTGCATGACATGACAGAGGGGGCAAGACTGCTCTTGGGGACTTTTTCATGAGGGTAATAATCCCAGATGATTGGGTTTCAATAAATTGGTTGGGAAGTGGGGATACCAATTATAGCACAGACCATGGTAATGTGTATATGTTCACAATTTTATATTGTCTTGAAGAATCACTTTTTTAACGCTTATTTATTTATTTTTTTTATTGGAAAATAACATTTATAGAGGAGAGACAGTGAAAAGGTCTTCCATCCACTTGTTCACTTCCCAAATGGCTTCAATGGCTGGAGCTGAGCCAATCTAAAGATATGAGCCAGGAATCAGAGCTTCTTCTGGGTCTCCCATATTGGTGCAGGGTCCTAAGCCCTTGCCTTGGCTATCTTCCCTCCGCTGTTCTCCCAGGCCACAAGCAGAGAGCTGGATGGGAAGTGGAGAGGCCGGGACATAAACTGGTGACTATATAGGATATCAGTGCTAGGGGGATTAGCCAATCAAGCCCACATTCTGTCCCCTGAATCACCCGTTTATCAATATGTAATGCTCTTCTTTGTTTCTTGTAGAGTTTTTGTTGTGGTTATTTAATTTTTTACGTAAGATTTATTTTATGTTATTCAGCAACCATAGTTCGCTCTTGGTTTCTGTGTGCATGGTCTATCTTTTCCCATTCTCTCACTTTCCACCTATTTTTGTTTCTGCATCTCAACTGAGTCTCTTGTAGGCAGTGTTTAGGCGGATCATTTAAAAAATCCATTCTGGGCCTGGTGCAATAGCCTAGGTGTTAAATTCTTACCTTGCATGTACTGAGATCCCATATGGGCACCAGATTATATCTCGGCTGCTTTCACTTCCCACCCAGCTTCCTGCTTGTGACCTGGGAAAGGAGCAGAAGATGACCCAAAGCCTTGGGACCCTGAATCCACGTGGGAGACCCAAAAGAAGCTCCTGGCTTCTTTCCAATAAAAATAAATAAATCTTTAAAAAAATTATTGTAGTATTTATCTTTTCATTGGAGTATTTCACTCATTTATTTATTGTAATATCTAATAAAAGAATTATTTCTTTTACTTTGCAATTCATTTGGTTTTATTGTACCCTTTTAATTTCTTCCCTCAGTATCACTTTGTTTCTATTTAACTGATTTTTGTAGTATACCATTTAATGCCTTTTTTTTAAACTTTATCTGAAGGACAGAGCATCAGAAAGAGATGGAGTGGAGAGAAAGTGAGCTGTTCTCGCCGCTGATTCACTCCCCAGATGTCTGCAATGGCCGGAAGTCAGGAACTCCTCCGAGTCTCCCACGTCAGTGACGGGGATCCCAGTACTTGAGCCATCACCGCCGTCGCCCAGGATCTGCATGGGCAGGAAGCTGGAGTGGAAGCCGAGGTGGGACCTGACCCTGGCAGGTACTCCAGTGTGGAATGGAAACATCCCGAGTGGCAACGTAAACCTTGTGCCATCACGACTGCCTTTGCTGAGTACGGAATCTTGGTTGATATTTTTTTTCCTACATTTTGTCATTGCACGGCCTTCTGGCTTCCACAGTTTCTCATGAGAAGTCTGCTGTTGATTATAGTGAGGGGCCACTTGTATGTAATGAATTGTTTCCCCTCTTGCTGTTTTCAAGAGTCCCATGGTCTTGGTCTTTCAGCAAAGCGCCTTCTCCTGGCCTGCTGGCACCCTGATTGGCCAAGAGATCTTGCTCCCAGACGTCTGCCTCTGGCTGTGTCACTTGTCACAGGGACAAATGTGTGCAGGGAGGGGTGGTCTGCAAGGGCTCCTCAGGCACCTGTGAGTTTAGGCTGGATCACAAAGCCCCACACAGGCATATTTATTAATGTCCACCTGTTCTCAGTAGCAAAATTTGAGAGAGGGAAACAATTATTATTAATAATAATAATATCCTTCCATCTACCTCCAGCCCGTGAGTTTCAGAAGTTTTGCACATTCCGTACTGGGACTGATTCCTAGCTTGATGGGGGTGCAGACAGCAACTGTCACTGTGGTTTCACAGTTGTAAGAGGACAATCCTGAAAAATATTTGTTAGTATCTCTTTGGCTCACAAAACAGAAAGACTTGGTTTTAAGATCCTTAAAGAAAAGAAAGAGATTTACATATCCAGCAAAGTTAAAGGTTGAGAAGTTAGTCCTGCATGGTCAGGAAACTAATCATTTAGGGTGGGGAGTGGGGGACAAAATCATTCCATCTGGCTTTGTCAAGGCAACCATAGGTGGGACTCCAGATTCAGTTAAATCCATAGCAGGCTAATTTTTAAGTTGATGGTTTTGTATGGCCCTTTTGTATGGTATCTGCTCCAAAGAGGGGAGCCACTGAATGAGAAAGAGACTTGAGGACAGAGCAGCCTCAGTGAGAGGAGAGTGCCAGGACAGGGGGGCACTTGGAATAGACCGGTAGAGGGGAACACCCCACTTCAGCACAGCTGCCCCTCCTGCCAGGATGGGGCTCCCATGGAGAGAAATTGCTAGAAATACAATATCTGGAGCCTCACCCCAAGCCACCATAATCCAGATTTCTAGGGAGTTGGATCCAGAATCTGTCTTTGAAAGCCTGCATGGGTGTGATGCATGATTAAATCTGACAAGGTAGGCAAGGTGTCCTTGGGGATGCTTGGCTTCCCTGGCCCTTGTTTTTGGAGGTGCTGTGCCACGCAGCGTCAGGCCAGCATCAGGAAGAGAAGTCAACCGGCTGCTCCCTCCCAGGATTCCTCATCATTGGCTTCAGCCCAGTGGGCCTTTACAAGCAAGAGGATCACCTGCTGATGAGAACCTGCCTCAAGTTGATTGTGGTCATGCTGGGTAATTGGTAGGCCTGTCAGGCCTGGGACCCCTGGCCCAGGATCAGGTTCTAGGGCTTGATTATCCACTCCTTATATTGGGGCAGTGCCTGGGAGGGGAAGGGAGGATATCCTGGCCCGGCGGGCCCTTGCTGCATCCACCTCTCATCCCTGGGCTTTGAGCTTCTGCCTTCAGAGGTGAGTTTCCTGCGTTTGGAGGCTGTGAGTGCTGCCTGTGCTCTCTGTCTTGAGGCTTTGGAGGGAAACTTGTGGGGGTGGGAGAGGGCTAGGCTTCCCCTCTCCACCAGCTGTGGTATTCTCTGTATGCTCTGGTCTCCACAGGGCCTTCCTAGGGTAGACTGTGATGGAGCCTTCTTGAAGGAAAGCACTGCTCCACCTGAAATTCTTAAGGCTGTCAGCACAGTCCACAGCCAACCACACTTTTCCATCTACATTAATGTGAGAGGGCTACTTCATGGGAAGGGGAATGAAAAGAATTTTGTTTGGGAGTCAGGCGCTGTGATGGTGTATCCTATGTGGACACCAGTTCAAGTCCTGCTTGTTCCACTTCTAATCTAGCTCCCTGTTACTGCTCTGGAAAAAAAAAAAAAAAGAATGGCCCAAGTTCTTGGGCCCTTGCACTCTCTAGGGAGACCCAGAAAAAAAAGTAGACCCTGGCTTTGACCTGGCACAGCCCCAACTATTTCAGTCATTTAAGGAGTGAGCTAGTGGATAGAAGATTCTCTCTGTCCTATCTTTGTAACTTTCTTTTTTTTTTTAAAGATTTATTTTTATTATTTTTTTTATTGGAAAGGCGGATATACAGAGAGGAGAGACAGAGAGGAAGATCTTCCGTCCGAGGATTCACTCCCCAAGTGAGTGCAACGGCCGATACTATGCTGATCCGAAGCCAGGAGCCTTTTCCGGGTCTCCCACGTGGGTGCAGGGTCCCAAAGCTTTGGGCCGTCCTCGACTGCTTTCCCGGGCCACAGGCAGGGAGCTAGAAGGGAAGTGGGGCTGCCGGGATAGAACCAGCGCCCATATGGGATCCCGGGCGTGCAAGGCGAGGACCTTAACCACTGCGCCACCGCGCCGGGCCCATAACTTTCTTTTTAAATGATTTTCATGATAACATAGTTGATCAGAGTGAGATGGGTCAAGGGTTAGGGAAAAGTGGATGTGATCATCTCCGGATTTTCTATTTCTTGGGCCTGTTTGGGGGTTGAGGGAGCTGTGGACAAAGTAAGAAGCTGAAGCCAGCTTCACAACCACACCAGTATCCGGGGATGGGAAATAGCCATCCGATATCAACCCAGGGTCCTAAACTCTTTCAAGTAGACAAAATATTTCTAAAAGGGGGATGGCTGACACAGCGGCACAGTGCTCTAATCCTCTGCATGCTAGCTCTGGTATCCCATTTGGGTGCCAGTTTGTGTCCTGGCTGTTCCACTTCCAATCCACCTCCCTGTTTATGGCCTGGGAAAGCAGTAGAAGACAGCCCAAAGCTTTGGGACCCTGCACCTGCCTGGGAGACCCAGAAAAAGCTTCTGGCTCCTGGCTTCAAATTGGCTCAGCTTCAGCTGTTGCAGCCATTTGGGGAATCAATCAACAGAAAAAAGACAAAGGAAAATTTCACTTTGGTGCAGAAATGTTTTAAATTCACTCATATGAGGAATCTTCAACATTTAGGAAAAATATTGTATTGTGGCTAACTTGTGTGGATTTAATTTTTCTTTTTGCACTAAAATAAGTTTGGTTTCATTCTTCCACTGACTGTGAAGTGCCCTGCCCTTAGTCTCATGAGGTATTGAATATCGTCCTTGTGATTCCATTTAGTTAATACTCAGAGTTGTCTCAGCAGTCAGTTGTTCCTGACCCAGGTATGCGTGCCACACAGAACACCTGTGAGGCTCCTGTGGGATGTTGAAGCCCTCGGAGAGGGACACAATGGAGTATAGGGGCCCCATTGTTCTGTGTTTTATTTTGGGGCTAAGCTCTTCTCTGAAAAGTCTCTGGCAAGGAGAGAAGGTGAGTTAGATTTTCTGTGGTCAGAAACAAAGTCCATCTGTGAAAGTTGTAACACGTGGTGGCTGTTTCCAAATTGCTCACGCTAGCACTTGGGTAAGATGTGAGCCTGCAGCCCCAGACAGGGAAGCCTCAGCAGGGCCGGCCTCCTGGGTGCCTTCCGTGTAGACCTGCAGCACCTGTGTGCCTTCCTTCTCTACCCTGATGCAGGGGTCAGGGCCGGCTTGGGACCTGGGACTTGCCCTGCCGGTGTCTTTCTGGAGACCTCAAACTGGTGGCCCAGGTGCTTCTTCGCTGACCTCTAAAACAAGTGGAGAGAAGGAGGAAGCCTTCTGTTTGAGGATTCGTGATAAAGCAGAGGAGATGCTGAACCCGGAGGAAGGTTCTGGGGCTTCCTCGGGGCCTGAGCAGGGAGGGCAACAGCAGCTGGGACATCTGCAGGGAGCACCTCAGCCGTCCCCGGAGCACAGCCCTATTTCTCAAGACAAAAGTGAACTGTCCCAGCCTCAGGGGCCCCTGCCAGCTGCTGTCACACCTCAACCCCAGACCAAGCAGCTGGAACCGGCAGGAGCAGCAGAGGCCGGGGCCAGGTGGGTCTGGCTGGAGCAGGACCCAGTGGGAGGTGGCACACTGTCCTTGAGAGAGGCTGTCCTGGAGCCCTGAGCTTCCTGTTCTGTCTGTTTCCCCTTTCCCCCCACCCATCTGTCACAGCTTTGAGCTAGGATCTGGGCTTGGTAAGTAATGGCTGTGACAGGGTGGAGGGGCCAGGCTGGCTCCAGACAGGTGTCTGCAGGGTGCAGGGCTCCCTGGGGGTGTTGCTGTTTGTTTTTTTCCTGCAGGCCAGCCCTGTTGTCAGTCCCCTCCCAGTGACGTTCAGGAGCTCCTCAGGACCATTGTGAGTGTCACCTTAACCTTGGGCTCCTCCCCTTCTTAACGGTCTCGCAGTCAGGTGGGGGGTGTGGGCGGAGTTGATGCTTCTCTCCCCCCTGTGGGTGGAGGGTATTTAGAACAGAGCTGTGCTCCTCCGGTCAGCATCTTCTGAGTGAGGCTCTTGGTGACACTGTCACTCCTTGGAGAATTCTTGCCCAGAGGGAGAGGAGCCATGTCACATGTTCAAGGGCATGGATGCTAGCAGCTCGCGAAGAGGCCAGGGTTAGTCGGGGCTGCCAGCCATCTCCTCTCCCCAAGCCTGTTGGGGTTCAATAAATCCAAGCAAGACTCCAAGGCGAGTGAGATTTTAATTTCTAGTCCAAGGGGCAACCTCTTGCCATAAGCAGGAAGTGCCCTGAATGAAATAATCATGGGATTTTATAGTAAGAGTCAAAAGCTACGTGACAGTGAGCAAGTACATGATTAGGAGCTAACGGTGACACAAAACAGAAAACATGTGATAGGAATTTACAATGTATAGGCTTGGGGGTCCTGATCATATCACTTCAATGCAGACAGCAATAAAACGGATGCCTTGAAGGTAGCGGTCTTTCCCACAAATCTACAAACTCAAGGTTCTCCCTATCTTCTGCCTGCCTCCTGGTCTTTCAGGAAACAGCTTTGCTTGTAACAGGGTGCAGGTGTCTGGTGTCTCTTTGGAGATTCCAGACTTCCAGGAGCACAGTCACCTTTACGATTAACCGTTTCACCTCTCCCCAAGCCCCCTGTCCCACATGAAGCTGTGGTCAAGCAGAAGATCCCCAGAAGATTATGGAAGGTTGGCATGCTGCGACATAGGAGTAAAGTCCATGCTGTGGCAGTCAGCGGCTCAACCCACAATGTGTACACGTGTGGCTTGGGCTACATCAGGGTGTGGGATGAGAATTCTCTGCACACGTGGGACAAGACCCCTGAGGCCCAGCTGGATCTTCAGGTGACAGTCACCCAGGGAGGGCTGGAAGCAGGGTAGCACACACAGGGGCCCTGAGACCACAGGACATCTTGTCAGAGCAGCAAGGAGATGCAAGGGCGTGACTGTCCCCACAGGATCCCCAAGGGTGTATCCTTGTCTGCAAGCTGACCCCCGATGAGCAGAGCCTGGTCACAGCAGGCAGGTCAAGGACCTTGACTCTCTGGGACTTGGCACCCACTCCTCGTGTCAGGGCAGAGCTGCCTTCAACAGGCTCCGTTTGCTATTCCCTGGCCATCTCCACCGATGCCCGCATCTGCATGGCTTCCTTCCGAGGCTTTGTTGAGGTCTGGGACTTGCAGAACCAACAGTTGATCAGGTGTGAGACCTCTGCAGAGCCCCTTGGCTTCCTCTGTGGGAGGGTTTGCCCACTGCCACCTTACATCCTCTAGTCCAAAGGACTTTGAGTATGGTGAACCTGTCTGGGGTTTTCTGGCCTGGAAGCTTCCAGAGGAAGCAGACCTGCTTGTGACTTCTGGCCTGTTCCCCAGGAACCAAGTAGTGCCCATATATGGGTCCCGATGCATCGACATCGCAAGCACTAAGTTCTGGACAGGAGGTGAGGACACCAAGCTGTATTCCTGGGACCTGAGAAGCTACAAGATCGTGCAGCAGTACTCCTTGCAGTATGAGGTGGTGTCTGGGTGTTGGCAGCGGCAGGTCCTGCCATGGCAGGGGAGATGGGTGTGACTGAGGGCACCGGGAATTCTGAGCACTGAGCCCAGGCCTTCTCCCCCGCAGATCCTCAGTATCACTCATGACCCCAGCGAGGAGTGGGTACTAGCAGGCCTGGGAAATGGTGAAATCCTTACCGTTCACACTCAGCGGAAAGAGCATTTCAAGGTTGTTGGGCTAGAGTGCAGCAGCCAGCACAACCTCAAGTTTGCCGCCAGTGGTGAGTGGAAAACTGGGGGCACCCTGCTTGAATTCACTTTCTTTTTGGTTTGCTGGCTCCTTCTGTAATCTAGCTTCCTAAGTGGAATGGCAGCCTGAAGGCTGCAGGCAGAGACCTCCAGCTCCCTCTGATTGTCCTGTGTGTGGTGGGAAGGTGGGGACAGAAGAGTGGCTTGGGGTGTGGCTCTGATGGCCACAAGCAGTGTGTCTGTGGCAGAGCAGAGAAAGCCCTTGGTGTGGCCTTGTTGAGGACAGGAGCCAGGTGGAACTGGAAGGCAAGTTTGATCTGCGACCTTGCCACCTGCCCTCTCCTTCACCAGGGAGCTGCTTTGTGGACACAGTGGATAATTACATCAGGTGCATAGAGGTCCCCTCTCTGCGGAGGCTGTTCCAGGTACTGCAAAGTGTTGTGGAAAGGAAGGAATTTGTAGCCAGGCTATGGCTCCCAGAAGTGCAGGGAAGGACAGCCGAGAGGGTGTTCAGGGCTGTTTTGTAGGATGGGAGGGGCAGTGTGGACATGGGGGCCTGTGGGCTCACTGCTGTGTCCTGTGTGGAGACAATGACTCGGGTCTCCACTAACCTGGCCCTGGCCCTGGAGAATGCCAGACTGTAGCTGTAGCTGATGGCTCGGGGGTGGGGGTGGGGTCTCCCCTCGCTCCAGGTCCAAGAGCCTTCCGAGATCCTGTGTTGTGACCTGTCCTCTGATGACCACTACCTGGTTACCGGCTGTAAGAATGGTGCAACGGTATACCAGCTCCTGTACTGAAGGCTGTGCACTGTGCATGGCTGTGGTCAGGGTGGGTGGGGAGGTAATCTTGGTTTCCTGGCCAGTTTCAATACCTGCCACCCATCCACCTTGGCCTTGTACTCCCAGGTTCTTATCACATAGCTTGGGCTTTTTTCCTAACCAGCAATTTCTGGGTTTGGGTGGGACCTGACATTCGTAATTAATAAAATGGCAAAGCAAAAATGAAAACCTGAACATGTTCTTTTGAAATAGCAGTCATTCCTGCTGGGTGCTGGGGCCTGTGCTCAGCATGTGCAGACAGATTTTCCCTCTGTTCTTACTGGGGTAGGGAAGGAATTTTAGACCTGACGTGATTTTAGTACCATTTGGGGGGCAGCAGGACATTTTTGGACTCTTAAGAAAGCTTGAAAGAACATCTGGACCATCAACCTTCTATCAGCTGATTCAGCCAAATGCACATAAAAAATATTCAGGGAAACAACTGTGCCTGCGCTGAACATGTACAATACCCTATAGTGACTGACCGTAGGACTCAGAGTAGGTGTGTGAGTGAGCTAGGGGTAATTTCAGGATACCAGGACGTGGTTTGGGGCAAGTCAGAAATCCCTGTCTTGCTGCTGCTGAAGGACGTTTTCCTTCATATCCAAGGGTTTGACACTGCAGTGTTTCATGTGGCCTTCTGTCTGGGGGAGGAAAATCAGGGGAAAAAAGCATGTATTAAGAGGGTACTCTTGGGGTCAAGCATGACAGACTGACAGGCTAATAATCCTCCACCCCCAAGCAATGGCATCCTATGTGAGTGCTAATCGGTGCCTCGGCTGCTCCACTTCCCTTGAAGTTCCCTGCTTGTGGCCTGGGAAAGCAGTGGAGGATGAAATTCTTGGGTGCCTGCATACACACAGGAGACACAGCAGAAGCTTCTGGCTCCTGGCTTTGGATTGGCTTAGCCAAGGCTGTTGTGGCCATTTTGGGAGTGAATCAGTAGACAGGGGATCTTTCTAGCCTTTTATATTGGAAAGGCAGATTTGCAAAGATACTTTTTTTTAAAGAAGGTACTCTTAAGTTCTTGGAAAATTGATTAGATGAAAAGATGGAATCCATAGCCTTTTCATAAGCTGAATTTTCATGGGATTTTTGAGGCACTCATATACATAGCCTTTAAAATGTTTGCATAAAAACCATATTTGAAAGGTAGAGGGACAGGGAGAGAAGAGATACTTTCCAAGTTCACTATGCGAATGGTTTCAGCTGCCTGGGCTGGACTAACTTAAAGCCAAGAGCCAGGAGCTCTTGGTTTCTCAAATAGGTGCAGCGACCCCAAGCACTTGGGCCATTTCTGCCGCTTTCCCAGGTACACTAGCAGGGAGTTGGGAAGTGGCACAGCCAGGACTCGAACCAGTCTTCTAGTTTGGGATGCTAATATGAATGGCTTAACCTGGTACACCACAGTGCTAACTTCATAATCTTACCATTCAGTGCAATTGTTCCAGGAATTTTAGGAATCGGAATTTCTTTAGCCTCATGTTGAGTGGGCCTCCATTGGGTGTGGGGGTAAGGAGAGGGAGCTTGGACAAAATTGTTTGGGCCAAAATTGGTTGCTTTCACAACTCTGCCCAGCAGGGGCCTTCTGGGCCTGTGTTGAACACCCAGGGTGGGGGGCAGAGATGCCAAAGGTGAGTGAGGTGCCATCCAGGCTCATGGTGTCTGCACTTGAGACATTTGTCTTGCTAGTTTGGATTCTGTTTTCCCAGTGGCTCTTACTGCTTAAAACAGCTCATCAGTCCCATGCACACTTTGCTGTTTTTGTATACTCACCACGATCAGTTTGCAAACATTTGTGTCATGCCACTAAACACTACTTCAGTAGTAGACCTTAGCAGTTTATCACCTCCAGGTCTTGCATCAGCCACGTACCTCCTTGCCCACCTGCTGTTCCTTCAGATGACCACTCATGGGCTCTGTCTCCAGAGATTTGCTGACTTCTAGGTTTTCCTTAGAAATGGAGTCCCTATAGCATATATGCTTGCCAACATGATCTACCTCCTGATTCAATGTACCATAGAACACCATTTCTGTGTTAATCTTTTAAAAACATTTTTATTGGAAAGTCAGATATACAGAGAGGAGACACGGAGAGAAAGATTTCTCATCTGCTGGTTCACTTCCCAAGTGGCCAAAATGGCTGGAGCTGAGCTGATCCCAAGCTAGGAGCCAGGAGCATCTTCTAGGTCTCCCACATGGATGCAGGGTCCCAAGGCTTTGGGTCATCTTCTGTTTTCTTAGGTCATAAGCAGGCAGTTGGATGGCAACTGGGGCAGCTTGGACACAAACCAGAACCCATATGGGATCCCGGTGCATGTAAGGTGAGGACTTAATCCGTGAGGCTACCACACTGGGTCCTTCTGCATTAATCTTGCCTGATATGTACAATCTGGATTGAGTCATGAAGAAATGATAAACTGATTCTACAAAATTGCTAGCCAGCACTTTTTAAGGCAGACAGCATGGACTGTCTGAGGTTGGCGAGACTTGAGACCAAGTATGAGTAAATGGCTGTGTAGCAGACCATCAGTAGGCTAGTGCATGTAGATCCATATCCATTTCCTAGTAGTGATCATCCCTTTTACAGTGATGCCACTTTTAACATGGCGGGGGGAGTAAGGCGTGAGCAATATATGGGTGCTTCCTTTATACAGTGGTTTATTAAGTCAAAAATTAACAGCAAGTGAGCAAAAATAGAAGCCTTACACCAGCATTACACCAGAGATTGGGAACCAGGAAGCCTTTGGGGCAGTTTTATAGGTTTTTACATCAAGAAATGCATATACTAACATCCATGTTGCATTCTTTGGTGCTGCCTCTAACATTCATGTGCTTCTGAACAAAAGCCAGCTCACCAACTCCAAATGCAGTTACGGTTACCTTTGTGTGTGGGATGCTGGGGTGGGAAGGGGATAATGCCTAAAACAGCTCCTGTTCCCCCAAGAAGCTGATGGTTCATGGAAAAGGCACATACACACTGAGGACCAACTGGACCAACAGGTACAGGTTCAGGTTCATGGGGGTGAGATGGGGAGCCCTGGGGAGGGCAGCTCGTAAGCAGCAGTGGTATGCATCCTGACACAGAGTGCCAGTCAGAGAGCAGGAGCTGGTGGTACTGGCCCAGCCTCCCGGAGGCAGGGAAGAGCCGTTGGGTTGGTGGAATGTGGGGAGAGCCGCAGTCTAAGAGGCAGTTGCAGGGGGTTCTGAGAGGACTGTTGGGAGAGTATGCATTCAGTTGAAGCCAATGGGCCAGGGCCAACAGGAGCCCTGTGAGCAAGAAGGGAACTGGGCTTATGTGGGAGGCTGGTCTGGAAATGGGGAAAGGTCCAGATCTCCTGTGCATGTGGGGCCAGAGAGGCTCTCAGAATGGGATCTTCCACCCAGCATCCCACAGCTCATGGCCACTAGGAACAAGCCTCCTGGACAGGATGAGTTTAGTGACCCAAAGGGGTTCCAGGGAGGAGTTGGTCAAGTCCTGGACAAGGGTTGGGACCAGGAGGTGGGGCTCATCAGCTGTCAGGACAGCCAGCCTTCCCAAGGCTCCACCCTGTGAGTCTGTCGGTCAGAAGAAAAGATCAAAGTTCAGGCCAGGGGCTTAGATATGCCCTCACAACTGTCATGTGACCAAATGGGTTAGGAAGGGAAAGAGGAGTGTGGAGTGGCTGAGGTGGGATCCTGGATCTTCTCACTGTGGGAGGGGATGGGGAGAGAAAGAAGAGGGGTGCCACAGCCAACAGTCTTGACTTGGACTCCTGTTGTGTCCACATGCCAGTTCAGCCCTTTGTCACCTTGAAGTCAGGAAGCAAAGCCCACCTGGGAGCAGCAATATGGCAGAATTAAGTGATGTACACTTTGTAAAGTGGCTCGACGGATACAGCATATTTACTGCACATTCCTGGTAAATTAAGGGCAAGAAAAGACTGAAGGAGCAACTCAATGCAGAGAATACCAAGGAGGTACGAAGTTGCTGCAGCCCTGGGTAGAGCAGGTGACTGGGAGCAAAGTGCGGGAAGTATGTAGAGTGTGTCCTCCCAAACCGGCTCACCATGACCTTAGCTAGAGCCTTCTAGGAACAGGCCCTGCTGTCCTGAAGCAAGCCCGAGGGGGCAGGAGCAGACCTTGCCATTTCCAGGTATGATTCAGGCCTTGGGCTAAAGCCTGGAGCCTCTTATGGAAGGTCGTTTAATGTCAGGGTGCCTTCTGAGGGTCAGGATCCGGCCACGTGCCAGGGACCTGAAGGTGAATGGCCTCTGTGAGCTCCCTGAAAGAGGGGTTTTGTTTCGGCTTTCTCCCTGGTGCCAAGGCCACTACAGGGCAGGACAGAGTCCCAGAGGTCATACCAGGGCACAGAAGTCCTCCCCTCCCTGATTCTCTGTGACCCCAAGCCCAGGGATGGATCGAACTCTGCCTAGTCTCAACTTTCTGCTGCCCCAGTTTTGCCTCATGCTGTTGCCCAGCCCTTGCCTGGGGCCCCGGTCACGTTGGTACCTTTCCCACCCAAGACTTGTTGCTGTCTTGGTCTTTGGGTCTGAAAGGTAGCCCTCTTCCTCCAAGCTGTGGCCCTCTCCCATGCCCCATCCTCCCCTGCCCTGTCCTGCCCTTTTCCCCTGACTCTACGTGAACCTAGACTGTCTGCAGGAAGGCTTCCTGTCCCCACACAGCCTTCTCTTCTCGTTTTCCTAGATTTCAAGCAGGCTGCACAGCATGTCTGGAGGTGAGGGACCATCTTTGGCTGACATCACATGTCCATACTGAGTTATGTGTGAGCAGGAAAGCTTCCCTGGGGTCCCCCCAGGTATTGGGCTGTGGCTCTGGAAGTCCCCAGTACACAGCCTTACACACCCCACCACCAACCTCCAGCCTCTGTTGATTGCCATGTTGGTCCTGGACACAGCTCTGGATTGGTGGAGTATGTTTGGACGGGGTCAGAATCATGAAGTCTGTGTCGTCCTGCCCCATCCCTGGCCAGGGGCCTG